TTTTAATTATCCGCGCATCAAGTTTTGTTTCCTCTGAGAGATAAAATGGTCAAGGGGTGATTAAAAACCATTTAAAACAGGATGTCGCAAACAGACGCGCAGGGCCGTTAACGTTGTAGAACATAGTTAACTAAGGGCAGAAATGGGTTACCGTCAGGAGCCCATTATCCGGAGCTTCCATCTTCCATACTGACCCTCTGAGTCAACCCAGTCCCGAATCTTTTTATTTTTAGAAGCACCTCCTACGGGGTTTTCCGCGGGTGCTTACATAATAGCCAATCATAAGAGAGCTGTGGTCCTCTATTGTTTACGTCACGTGCAGGCCGCACGAAAGAAGTATTTATTTCAATAATGGCGAAAAGCGCGGAAAGTCTACCATTTTTTTTAGGGTGCTATGCGAACGCCAGCGTATTTCCGCGGGAAATTAAAGAACCCCCACGTAACTCTGTTCAAAAAATAAAAAGATACGGGACAGGGTTGACTCAAGGGTACAATTGGTAGGGATGGTTATCGTGGTGAAACAATGTTAACTAGGACATATCGTAAGCCATACACGAAGCCTATAACGTGTTGTGTTCCTATCCAGTCTGCTCTCGGTCTGGCTGAAAATGATGGATCTGTAGAGTTAATGTGGGTCGAAAAAGAATCCAAACGTGTCCATGTTTTTGTTGCTATTTTACACGTTAGAGACATCAGACGATTCGTCCATGTAATTATTGAAACATGGATGCCATTTTAGATTGCGTTGATGAAATAGCATTGGATGGTTTGGACGGTAAGTATTTCAGCTTAAATTCGTAATTCAGCTCAGATGAGATGAAAATCCTCCACATGATTCTGGGGTAGCACTAAAAGTACTTTTGGTTATCCTGCCGAGAGAGTTCCTCCATTTGGCGGTAAATTTTATACTGACCCTACATGTTTTATTTCGTTTGGCGTTTGCCTCAATGTATTTTTCTCACCCTTATGCAATGTGCAGAGGACAGGTTATTAACGTCAATCAATTTCTGTGCACGGGTTAATTGTTCAGCCGAAAAACAAGTTGTTTCCTACGTTACCTTTTGGAAAGATAGTGGTTACCATCCCATATGTAGCATGCTTATGTCTAGGAGAGGTCAGCACAAAGAAAGGTGCAAAGACAAGAAAGTTCTTATTAGTGAATTATGTTCTTACAGGTTGTCCTATACAGGAGCTGTGGAAACACCTAGAAAAAAGAAGACCATCATTTCCTTTACCACTTGATGAAAATACAAAGCAGTTCTTATGGAAGGGAATCACAAAATTCCACGATGTTGACTTTTTTGCCCTTCCAGAGCCTTTTCCTCACATATTTGGCAATAGTCATGAAGAGGGGAGTGAAGATAAGGATGCAAACCCTGAGCAAAAGAGCTCTCTTGATCAGGTATCAAAATATATAAAGTTCTGCATTGTTTCACGTCATGGTATATATCTGCAGCAGCACAGCTGGGCAGGAATCGTGTTTGTTTTCACTTTTTTGATCAGTGAATAAATATTAATGAAAAAGATGTCTTTGCAGTACATTTCACCTGAAGTAGTCAGCACTGATTAGAAACAAAAGCAAGTAAAAAGATTTTATTTGTCATTCCTCGTGTAAGGCTGCAGTTGCTCAATAGGATTGTGTTGCCAGACTGAATCTTAGCCCTATAACTTCCATGAGTGACCAAGAAATAATTTTTCCTTCTGGTAACAATAAAATATTGAGCAGACAAGTGATGAGAATAAAGAAAAATATCAACAAGCAGATTATTAGTTGGACAAATAGCAACTTCTCCAAGGTAACTTTACAAGAATTGTTAGACAGACAGTAAGGAGAATTACTAATGAGATCTTGGGAGTGAAAAGATTATGATCTTAATTACACTAATTACTTTTATCTAGTTACCTTAGTTATGTGACCATGAATATCTTTTCAGTTTCCAGGGCCACTTAGATACAGTTGTGAGTTTAAGCTCATTTCTGACCAAGAAAGTGGAATAAGAGGTTCCTGTCCAAGTTATCATGTGCGCAAGAATATATCAGAGGAGATAAGAGGTTCTTTGAATAGAGATTGTTTCGACTTAAAGACTGCTTACGAAAGGTATGTCATTACTGTTGTTGGATTTTGCCAAAAAATTCATAAAATGCTATTTGAAATTCTCTGTTTGAATTTAGGCTATGATTAATTTTACAAAAAGAATGGAGGAAAAGCTTTTTTGATCTTTACTATAGAGTAAAATAAAACTATTCTTAAATACTGAAAGCACTCCCTGCATACTGATAAGTTACTGTAACACTGTAATTAAAATCCATTTACCAGTTGCCATGTTCTGTTAAAATTTTATTTACAAGAGAAAGGGTATTTGAACTTTACTCATTTTCTATAACAAACTTGCTTTACTATAAAATTTTTGTAATGTCTCAACAAAAACACATGAAATCATCCTGTTTATTTCTTTCACAAAGAAGCTGTGGCTCAAGCTGTTTGGGTGGATTTAGATCATTTCTGGAAAGATTAGAAATGCTGGTGGGATGAAACTCAATGTGATTGTGTGGATATTTTTATTTTTAATGTTTGCAGGTGGGGAGACTGTCTTGTTATGGTTGCCTCTCAGGAAGTGAGGGAAAAAGCCATCCTTGGATTGGATTGTGATCCAAATGTTCCACTGTCAGACATACAGTACTGTTTGTTGGAGCATATTGGACAAGCAAGATATAATGGACGCATGCAGAAATACATCAGCTCTAATTTCTTTAAGGTTGAATCAAGGACAACATTTCATCATCTGAAAATTTTGCGCAAAGCTCATTTAGTAACTATGCAGGTAAAGTATAGTACACAGGCGTACAGTCTCAGTGGTCAATTTTTTATAACAATGGCTGTACATATTATACATTGTGATAGATCAGTAGACAACCTCTAGGCAAACTGTGATCGGAAAAGGTTTTGAAATTGATATTATAGTGGGGTTTCCCTTCTCAAATATAAATTGATGTAATTCTTGTAATTTTTCCACTGCATGTATTATGCCATTTTATCTTATTTGGTTAGTGAAACATGCCATTTATGCTTCTCTTTAACACTGTAAAACAAGGCAAAAATACCAACAGAAAATTGCCATAGTGGACAATCCTGGTTATTAGTTACTAATAAATCCACCTTTCTAAAGGTTAAGCATGAAGCAGAGCCCTAGTCAATCATATGGTTTGGAAGTAAATAAAGTTTGGGAGTGCAATATTGTTGACATCACCTTTTCTCATCCCTTATCTGTGTTTTATCAATCTTGTGTTGGGGTTCTAAACAGTCTCTTGGGTGTAGTAGACTGATGAAACACCTGTCTAGACAATCAACTGTCATTCCTCAAACTGAAATCTATCTTTTTTATAGGTATTACTGATTCATTAATGAAAGCAACTTAATGAATCATTAATTAAATCATTAATTCATTAATTGTTTAGCTTGCAATGTTAATCTTAATTTTTCTAGAATGTTGTTGTTAGTACAACTGATCCTGTGAAGAATGTGAGTAATGCCATAACCAATGTGGTGAGATTAAAAAGATTCCATGTACAAGAGCACCACAAGTATGATGTGCTGGCATCTAGACTGTGCAAGCTGTTATTAGATTCACCAAATCAGGAATTACCGTTGATTGAGATTCAAGAACATTTTGTAAGTAAAATTGCTTTTAATTCTGGAAGATAGTATGTTACTGTAAAAAACAGTTGAAAGGAAATAGCCACTTGTTCATGGATTCTAAGCATCTTAAGTCTCTGCAATGGTCTTGAGTGATTCAAGGTAAATCAGGCTGTGAATGTCACTGGGATGAGGGAAAGATGTTAAGGTGTCATTCTTCAGTTGTTAGCAATCAACTATTGCCAGGCTCCATTTATATTGGATTTAATCTCTGGAGAATTTGGAACACTTCTAGTACTTCTTGACTGTTTAGTGGAACACCCAACAGGCATCAGGCATGTGTAATTTGTTGGAACTGTAGGCACTTCCAGTGTATAACTAGTTATGTAAATGCAGTAGAAAAATTTCATGTGTCCTGTGGTGTGCACGCAAATACATGTGCAGTTGTACTTTGATTCATCTTTTGTCATTCACTGCATATATATGCCAGTATTCTTTCACACAAAGACAATCACTGAGGGAAATTTGGTACTATACTTGTCTTTATGATTCTTAAATGCATTCTTGGAAGGAAAAATGTAAAGTCACTGTAGAATATTCAAAATTTATTTGTTTAAAAAATTGGCCTTTGGTTGATTTGTATTGGTGAATTTCTTTAAAATAATTCAAAATGTTAATTGTCATGAGCAATGTGAAGGTCTTACTGACCAGCTTCTAAGCACTCTAGCAATGTAGTATAATATCCCTAAGTGCAGGGAAGGAGTTGAAATAGTCCTCTGAGGAAAAACCAAGGAAGTAATGTCACCATTAATGTGTGACAAAGTTATTTGGTGATCACCTGGAATGAAGAAAATCACTGTGTTATTTACCAGTAAGTTTTCCTTTTGTCCTCCATCAATAGACTGAATTAAGGAAAAAGGGCCTGAGGAAAGTACGGCAGTTTTTAGTACAGGCAGGATATGCTGTGGAAGAAAAAATTGGAGCATCTCCTGATGGAGCAGATGGCAATGACTGCAGTCCACCAAAAAAGAGGAAAAGGAAAAATGAAAAATCATCTGCAATCCCTAATGTTCACACAACAAAAATGCGACTTCTCAAACCTTTTATTTTGAAAACCAGTAACATTCAGAAGCCAGATGGTGGGGAAAATGATGAAGATGATGATGATGATGAAAATGATGATGATGATGATGATGGTGATAATGATGATGAGGAACAGAATGTTGAAGGAGATGACTCTTTGCAAAGTGATGGTATGATAAGGAAGAACTGGTGTATAATAAGCAATTATTTGTATTAAATTTTTCCATGATAGCATGAATTATAAAAACCAAGGCCTAAAAAAACTGAGGCCTGAGAAGTGGAAGACTGTGGCAGGTAACACAGACACGAGGTTTGTTATACATTTTCTAAACAATCTGCGAAAGAAGACACTTTTTGTGAATTTTTTTGTTCGGTGTCATACTCAGCATAATCATTGTCATTTTGTAAGGCCCCTAATTTCTGAAGTGGGGGTAGGGGTGAGGTGGGGTGTTGATTCATTTTGCTCAGAAGTTCCATCAATACTAATTGTGACATGTTGCAATATACATGGTATTTAAATGAACACAGACCAGCTTTGTATTTCCTACTTCTGAGAAAATATTTTTATTTTGTTTTCCTTTTCTTCTAGATTATGAGTCAAATATTATTGCTGAGAGACCTTTGATAACTCAGGTTTACAAGATTATTGAACAGGCAGGACCACATGGATTGACTCTGTCAGTAAGTCAGGGTTGGAGAACTTTAAATCAGTTTTAATGCTGTAATACAGACAAACCTGGATTATCCAGACTCTTGGAGAGTGTGCTTAATAGTCTGGTTGAGAGTCTCGCTGAGAGTCTGCATAACAATGTACATGTACCTGTATGTGTGGTTGTTTTTTGGTGTACCGTAAATTGTGTAGTTGATGTTTGAAAATATATGGAATGAAATTAAATGCAGTACTCACTTGGATGTACTTAGAGTATGCAGATTAAATATATTTATATAAATACATATGTAAACTCATAGACAGTTACAGTAATATATAATTATTCATTATATTCCAATAATACTTTACTTCTTTTCAGCAATATCGTAGAGCTTGCAAGCTTCCTTTTGCTGATGTCAGAGCTTTTGTTAAGAATTTGAAGAAAAAGAATTTAGTCCATGAGGTTCATCAAGCTGTAAAAAAGCAAACAGTTGCCTGGTAAATATCTGGTATTAACTATCTATTGCAAATTCAAAATTGAATTGCTTTAGGCTAACAAATTGGTAAAATGTTCAATCAAAAGGAAGGTTTTCCAATTCTGTGAAGATTTTATTGCATAACCTTGAATTCATACCTCTCATGACTTTAGGTTTGTGGCAGCTCCATTCATGGATAGCAATGTACAAGCAGTAAAAGTGAGACAAATCAGGGATGAACTAAAAAAAATGGAGACTAAAGCAGCAGATGTGAGCATCACAGAAGGTAATTCATGTAGTGGTCCTCCTTCAGGGATCTACATGTAGTTACAATAAACATTAGGACTATAGAGGCAGTTTGTGCAACATCACTCTTGTGCAAATGCTTCTCTCTTCTAAAATATGTTGTCTACAATGTACAGTGTACATGTGTGTCATAAATGGTTTATACTGAAGAAATGTAAAATGGTTTCCGTGTTTACATAGCCTGATGTAAACACGCAGGAGGTTGGGAGAACACGAGATAAGTGTAGGAAACCACGATGCAAAGCGCAGTGGTTTCCAGCTTATCAAGTGTTCTCCCAACCTCCCAAGTGTTTACATCCGGCTATGTAAACACGGAAACCATTTTACATTTCTTCTATAAAATAACTAATGAAAGAGGAACGAAAACTGTGTTTACATACGCTCATGTAACCATTTAATGGTCTTATGGCCAATCAGAGCGTGCGTATTATTTGAATTATTTTATAATATCTATTGTGGTACCATAACATAGAATGATGTATGAATGAGAAAAATGGGAGCAATTATCTTGTTTAATTAACAAACGTTTGAGTATAAACTATCATAAATAATTATTATATTTTTTATTTACTTATTTACTTCTTCATAATAATATTATAAAATATTGTAAGTGTGAAGTATTCTTGTCATAACATTATATACACTGGTCTACCAGGATTCTTTATCTGTTGACCTCATTGGTTGACTTCCTGATGTTGCTTCCTAAT